ATGGGTAGAGACATTGATATAGTTTCTAGTGGTGAAATCTACATTAGGTCAGACCAAAGTTAAATTGTTTTAATTAATAATTCTCTTTGAATAAAATAATTCACTTTTGACGAATTATATGTTGTCATCTTAATCCTGAGATGGATAATGAACCCGTATGCTTGACTTGTGTCTTTTGATGTACCAAAGAGAGACACCCTGACATTATGTAAAGGTACGCTTACCGGTACATTAAGAGTATGACTCGTGCATGCGTAGATTCGTTATTCATAGATAGTTGAATCCATAGCTCCTACAAAGAGTCAATGGTCCTCTTATGCATTATCTGTGGATTGAAAAATACGAGCTCTCGGCCATTAGACTACTATGTGTTATCTAATGGTTTACTATTTGTAATGGTACGAATAGTGGTTTTCTGATGGAGCGGTAATGGAACATAAGATAAATGTAATCGGGAAGGTAAAACGGAACTTGACCTCAAGTCAATTATGGATATCCTATGGGGATGATACACTAATAGATTGAGTCATGGACAAGAGCTATTCAGAGCTTTGTAAATACGCTATATAAATTGAGAGTACAACTCTAGGCTTTTTGGAGTAGCACTAGAGTTTTATAATCATGAGATGGACTTGCTGGTTTACAAGTAGCGTTGTGATTATAGGAGTTTAATTTATATATGTCCATCGGGTCCATTTGCCAGCTCACATAATTTCCTGTAACGATACAGTATATTTTCTACATATTGGTAACTTGTGCTATTTTCGTAAAAGCGGTTCAAAGTTAATATGAGATTGGTTAATTAATTCATGAGTGATTTATCGGGTGAATTAATTGATAAATTAATTTTAGATAAATTGGTTGAATTATTGTTTTAAGAGTTGTTTAATATGGGAAGACTATTATATGACTATTTTGATCTGGCAACTTCTCTATTGGGTTACTTGAATCAAAATTGAGGATATATGCAAGTTTTCCCGTGTTGAAAAACTAGGAAAATAAGTTTCGTTAGTTCAGACAGGTCGACCGGTCCGGTAGACCGGTTCATGAAGGACAGGTCAATCGGTGAGTTATAACGTCTCTGTCACCGGTCAACCGGTTGTAACGTGTAGCGCATGCTGACATGGCGAAACTAACTCTATAAGCGAGATAAACTTTGAGAAACCTAATTGTTACGGAAATATGACTTCCTAAACACTATAAATAGCCCATTAAGTCACATTATTCATTATATCACTTTAGAGACTTTTTGGGGGCTATTGACAAAAGATTCCTGAGAGGAAAAATTATTTAATTCTTAAGAACGATTTTTTTTTTGGCTCTCTTGTGGTTGGAAGAAATTTAAGAATACCAAGAGAAGATTGAACGATGTGTGCCCACCCGCACTCCGATCGTGAAAACGAGATTAGCAAAGAAGACCAGTTAGTTGAGGTTCTTCGAGTTGCTATTTAGAACGCTTTGATATGTCAGACGTACTGTTTCCTAAATCTCTAAAGGTATGATTTAGATCTTTAGTATTTATATTATATAGCATCATGAACATGTTCTTAGTTGGCTTTAATATTGATTTAAATTTTTTAAAAATCCGATGCGCACTCGATGCCGTATTTTCCAACAGGAGCAAGATAGAAGAGGAGAGAGAAAAAATTTCAAATATTTAGATATTTTTAATTATTTACTCAACATTTTTTAAAAAAATCTACTTTTAATTTTATTTGCTTAAGTTCTCTCAATTTTAAAAAACATTTTTTTTCTAATTAAAAACTTCTAGTCAGCGAGATCTTTATAGATTTGACTTAAGGAGCATTTGATATGAAATAATCTTAGATATGAACGAGAATTTAAAAGATTTTCATATTTAATATAATTATTAAATTTTTTAAAAATTCAATAAAATGAAGCTTTTCTCACATGCTAATTCTAAACCCTCCCAACAGGTCACTTTCCCAGAAAAGTGATATCGCCCTGATCTCGCCTCTCTCTCTCACGTTTCTCTCACCTTTCTCTTCCCAGCCACCGACCGCCTCTCTCTCTCACCCTTCTGCACCGCTGCCCCCGGCCGCCTCTCTCTCTCTCGCCTTCTCTTCCCAGCCCCCGACCGCATCTCTCTCTCACCCTTCTGCACAGCTCTTCCGTCGACCGACTGCCGTCGCCTTCCGATCCGCGACGCCGTCGTGGGAAAAATCGCCGCCGCCAGGTTCGTCTCTCTCTCTCTCTCCTTTCTCTAGAATGGTAGTACGACGAATGACGGAAGCCTGGTTTAGTATTTACTTTTCCGTTTCAAATTCATTTGATGATAATGAGCAATTGCGTTATTTTACTTTTTTGATGATGATGAATGATTATTTTGATTACTTTTAGTGATCAATTGCGTTCAAATTCATTTGATGATAATGATTATTTTTTGGTGGGAAAATATGGGTGAGACAGAAAAAGGGGAAATTTGAGCAATATACCTTGTACTTGCTTTTGTATATGGAAACGGCAGCAGCATGAGCCAAAAGTTGATGGTGTGCCGCCAAATATGGTTCAGTTTCTGGTTTTTCTTTTCTTCCAGGAGCAAATGTTCCAACATCATAACCATTCACAGCAGTTTGAAGGGGCTCATTTAACGTAATCCTGTTTTTAACTCTGTCGCTAAAATTTGCAAAGCAGGTATCTGCATAGATACCGAAGTATTTGCTGCATGTTTTCCAAATATCAGGCATTCATAATAATGTAATCTGTAAACAATTGATGACAATATTAACTAGATGGAAAACATGCGGAAAAGATAGATTGACCAAAAACTTATTCTTCCTTGCGTATCTTCAAAAAAGAGAGTGTAAATCTTCAGCAAAGTAATTGTGTTTTCCCTTTTGAAGTCATTATCAGATATCACATTAGTAAGATAATAGGCTACTCAAGAGAAAACCCTCTGTCACAGTCCGCCTCATATGTAGTTTGTGAGATATAAAAAGGGAAAAACCCGAGAGAAAAGGGAGAGGCTGATTCTATAACCTTTGAAGGAAGAAAGAAAGGAACATACAATAACAAGTGGATGTAGCTCTTTTATTATAGAGTGAACCACTATAACCTCCTGTGTTCTTTTCGTTTAACGACATATCCATACCACTTCAAAATACCTTGAAGACAAGTACAACCAATTGCACTTTCCCGATAATATAACCAGTTTTGACCGGTAACTCGACTGACTGCTGAGTGGTAATCCGGTATAATCTTGTTGACGAAATTTCACCGTCAACAATTAGTAAGAGACGTTTGCGTAGAAATAGATGGGGTGAGAGTTCTTATCGCCGACATCACATATGCCAATTAAATTACCATCGATGATACATGAGAGTGACTTAGCATGTCTTGAAGCACTCGTATGGATAGGAGAACATTTGCTATCCTTTGCAACTACTTTAGAACCATTGGCAATTTAAGGGGAACTAAAAATATGGATGTTGAAGAATTGGTAGCTATATTCCAACATATATTAGCTCATGACCAAAAAAATAGGATTATGAAACGCCTTTTTGCACGCTCAGGTGAAACAATAAGTAGACAATTCAATATTGTCTTAAAAGCGGTGTTACGCTCCCATGAAGTATTACTAAAAAAGGCAGAACCAGTTCTAGAAATTCCACGGAAGGAAGATGGAAATGGTTTAAGGAGAAAAGATGGAAATGGTGTAAGCATGGTAACATACAACAATCGGAGAAAATGATGAATGAAAAGATTCCACAATATGGGCTTAAAGCACAACCACATATTGATTCTCGTGTAAAGATATTGAAGAAACAATATAATGCCATTTCTGAAATGTCGGGTCCTGCCAGTAGTGGCTTTGGTTAGAATGATAAGGATAAATGCGTTGTGGTTGAGAAAGATGTGTTTGATGAGTGGCTTAAGGTTAGTATTTTTGTTAACCAGTTATAAATTTCAGGTTTCAGTATATTATGTTATTTTATTGTTTAATTTACATTCCATATCTATTACAGAGTCACCCAATTGCGAAAGGTTTAAGGAACAAGCCATTTCCTTATTATGATGAGTTAGGACTTGTGTTTGGAAAGGATCGTGCTAACAGGTGCAATGGGATTTTCTTATATGGTTGATGATATTGATAAAAAAATAGAAAATGATCTTGATTATGATCCCTTGCTTATGTCTAATGAGCACATAGATACTGCAAGCATTGGTGGTCCTAGCACACAATCAACTTCAACACCATTAACATCAAGAAGGAAAAGGAGAAGGAGATCTCAAAGTGGAGATGTATTGGTTGATGCTTTAACTGAGATAGGACAAAAATTAGTTAATTATATGCTATGACTGGTGAGAATATTGGTCGGCTTGCTAATTGCTTTTAATACGAGACTGATAGTGCTGCAAGGAAGATGCAGGTGTTTGATGAAGTGAAGAAGGTAGAATGACTAACAAATGCACAACAAGTATGAGTCGGAAAAGTTCTTGTTCAAAACCATGACTACACCAACTATTTCTTCACGTTGGATGATGAATTTAAGTTAGATTTTCTTCTATCTCTTTTGAAATGAGTTAGATTGAAGCTTTTGGTGCTATATTTACAAACTTGAGTATATGGTCTAATATTTAGATCTTTTGATGACATCTTTAGAACTTTTATATGTGGTTCGAGATTTATAACTTTTGATAACAAGTTTGAAGGATTTTAGATAACATTTTGAGACCCCTATTATTTGATAATTTTATAGACTATTTATTATGTTATATTTTATACTTTTTACAATATTAGTGCTAATATTATGGGATAAATATTTAAAAAAACTTAGTGCTAATTGTAATTTATTTAAAAAAATATGTTTTTTAATATATAACATTCTCATACACAATTAAACACAATAATATATTATTTGAGAATTTGAGACAAAATTTTTGTATGTAATCAGACATAATAATACCTTATTTTTAAGAATCATATTATTCTCTGTTACTTTCTCAAAAATATAACTTTTATTGAGTATTGCGACCAAACGCCCCTTAGTGTTTTCATTAATTCCTAAATATCGCTGGCCCTCCTCTCGTTCGTTACGAAGCTTCTAGAAGGCTATTGGCGGCCGATCAGTGGGCCATCCTCTGTTCCATGCCTCTCCGTAGGCTCCATCGAGCCATCGTCTCTTTCAGGTTCGATTCCCTTAGTCACGGCCTCTTCGAAACCCTAATCGCTGTCCCGATCGCCGTTCTCCGCCCCGCCACCGCCTCCATTATCGATTCGCAATCGCATTCCTTGGCCTAATCCGCCATTCGCAGAATCAGAGTGGAGAAAAGGTTGGGTTTTCCAAGCTCGTTCAGTGGCTAATCTCCTTCGCCGTGTTCGTAATTGTGTACGAAAATATAAGTCTAGTAATTTCTCTCCCAATTTTTGCCCTAATTTGCTTTCTTCTATATTTCACGAGCTGTAGAAACATAATCAAGCCAGTAGTTACGAAATCTTTCTTTTGAGGATAGTTTTCATTTGGGTTTTATTGTTCTTTTGGTAAATATTCTTCCTCGCTCAGAATTTTAATTTATATATTATATGCGTATCTCATTGCTTTTGAATTTAATTACATGAATTTTCGGTACAGCTAATTCTTGGATCTAAAAGGTTTGAAATTTGAAAGCTTCGTGAGCAAGATCTTGAAGCCATTGGCAAAAAATGCAGGTAATTCTCGGCTTCTAAAAGATTAAATCCAGCTACAATGTATTAGTATTAGCTTCAATTTGTTCGTATTATACTTTTCATTTTTCTAGAATACAGATTTCTTTTTGCAGTCATCTTCAGGCATAGATCTCGCCGCAACAAACCCGGAAAACACACCGGAGAAGATTGAAGATGGAAAAGGAGTAGTTTCCTTATTCCATTGCGATCTTTATGACACAGAGATAGTTCACAAGATAGCCCAAGTTTTCCTTCCTGGAATAGCCACAGCTTGTGTTGACAACACAACTGGGGATATCTTCAAGATCCCGGCTACAGTGGCCTTTGACTTGAGAAAAGAAATGGTGGAATACCTCAATCAAAGAAGCGAAAACTTTGTTGCAGAGACTGTGATCGTAGAAGGCGGTCCCGAAGCAGAAGCATCTGATCACCCTTATGACATCATCTCTGATTTTGTTGATGACTTTGCAAGTTTAAAGAGGAACTTATTAAGTAGGGTCTCGGGGTGGTTGCTGAGTGAAAAGAGAGAAGACAAGATAGACGATTTTGTTCAAGAGATGGAGATTAATGGATTTTGGTTGGTGGATAAGAGGGAAACGATTGCACAGGGTTTGCTCAAGAATGTTGATTTTAAGAATGAGTATCACTGCGGTATGAAATTTGACTCTCCAGAAGAGCTTGCTGAGCATGTTCAGAGCTGCGGCTTTAGGCCTATGACTTGCCAAAACATGGGGTGTAATGCTGTGTTTTGTTTGAGAAACTCGGAGAAGCATGATTCTGCTTGCGCCTTTAAGATAATTCCATGTGAACAAATGTGCTCGGAGAATGTAATGAGACGCGAGATGGATAGACATTGCGTTACTGTGTGTCCAATGAGGCTCGTGAGTTGCCATTTCTATGCGGTCGGTTGTCAGTCCCCGTTACCTCATTCTATGCTAGAACAACATCGTTTGGACGATCTCCATTCTCACTTGCGTTACGTCCTTCGAAGTATTCACAAGGAAGCCTCTAAAGAGGACCTGAAACAACGAGTAGACCAACTAGAAAAGGTGAGGATGAGAATCCTTTTTTGGTGGTTTTATCATTTACACAAGTTTACAACATTCTTGTTTCCTAGAATTACTTTGGACCAGTTATCTCCCAGTGTTGCATTCTTAAGAACCGCACATGTTTTGATAGTACTACTTATTAAAGAAGAAAGCAGCTTAGTGTTTTTAAAAGTACCCTATTGTTGAACTTTGTTTTCTCAACAACAAACTATATACCAATTTGAATCTGCAAACTAAACGAGACTGATATATTAGTTTGTTTTTCTGTACCTGTGGCCTCCCTTGATTTTGACTGGATTGGCAAGTTGCTCTCTGAACTTTTTATTTTGATACTTATCCTAGAATTTAATAAAATATTGCATGTCCCCACAAAGGAATCGATGAATGATATCAAAATTTGGAAGCTACGCCCTCATGCATGCGATATATGCTCAGGCTGTCAATTCTATCCAAATTTTAACATATGTCATCGATATAAAGACACTATGCAATATTTTACTAAATTTAAGAGATAACAAAATAACAAGTTCAAAGGGTGACTTACCAATCATTATTTTTTTCAACACTACTATTAGAACCGCACTTTGAGTTAGTCATTTCAACCAATCGACTGTTTGATTACCTGTAATTAGAATAACCAATTCTCATGTTACGTGATAGGCATCATCTTTCAATCAATTGGCAAACGCTCAAGATGTGAGATCGTTAACATCTGCAGTGAAGGATCTTGAAACAAAGCTAGGGCCATTCAGACTGAACGGTGAAAACAAGGATAACGAAGAAACTGGAGAAACTCAAAAGTTGTGATAGGCTGCAACATGTTGGGGCCCATGGCTCCAAGGAACTTGTCGTCCATAATTTGTTGACCTTGTGGAGTACAATTCGATTTTTAATGGGAGAACTTTAAAAGGACAAAAAAAATTTAAGAGAGTTATTATCTGATTTTCTCCTTTTTAAGGAACAAATTCAAGAAGTTTGTTAGTCTCATTACTCAAAAATTAGTAAATTCACACAACTAAAGCAACTATATTAAAAAAAAAGAAAAAAAAAACTCGTGTCCTTATATAATATTTTTTATCTAATTATTGTAATGACGCATTTAGTTTGAACTTTTTTTCTACATTGTGTCTTCAAAAAAAAAATTAAATAGTTTTGAATTTTTGTTTAAACCGATTCAAACCCTTTTTTTTACATTATTTCTTTCAAAAAAATTAAGGGCTTGTTCTTTTGAACGAAAAACTCAAAGAAATATAACTCGAGTTACAAATTTATTCGAATTCATGTTCTTTTAAGTTTAAACTCGAGTTTGAACTCGAGTTCAAACTCGAGTTTAGGACTAAAACTCGAGTTCAAGTTTCTCCTTCAACTTGAGTTTAGAAACTCGAACTCAAATTAATGAACAATATTTTTTTTATTTTTAAAAATGTTATAATTTTTTCGTTTTAATTCTGATTGAGATGATTTTTTTTCTATGCGTTGACAACGAAAAGACGAATAAAATCCGATCCATATACCCTATTAAAATTTTTCATCAGCATTGAGTTTTTATTAAAATACTATCTAAATATAAATTCAAGTTTTGACTCACTCAAATACAAACTCAAAAAGATTCTTATCTCAAATCATAACTCAAATGTACACAACCAAACACAAACTCAAGTTACAAGTTCAACTCAAATTATAACTCAAATTTAACTCAAAAATTATACTCAAGTTAAACTCTAAAAGAACAAGCCCTAAATAGTTTTGAATTTTTGTTTAAATTTTCTGTTTAAAACTATTAATGAATAATGTCATAAAATTTCAGAATTTTATTACAGTGCTTATTATTCTATTGGGATTTCAGTTAGAGAGAATTAAATTCCTTTGTTTTTAAAGGGAATTAATTTCCTGTTCTACAATTTACAAATTGAAAAATTGGAATAAAAGTAATTTGTTTAAATAGAAAGAAATTGAAATAGAAGAATATGTGATTCTAGAAATACCCTTACACACAAAGAAATAGAAAGTTGGATTGTGTGCACTTTACATGAAATCGTGACTAAACAAATCCGGTGGTTCTAAAACGACATTTCAGTTCCACGTCATATCGGCAGTCTAAAATTTAACCAAACTGTTTTAAAAATAGTTTGGTCCGGTTTAAAAAATTTTATAGAATCCAAATCAGATCGGACCGTTTTATATATACATATTAAAAACTATAAATAATCAACTTTATATGTTATTTTTAGGCTTTTTTATCCTTAAAGAGTACTAATTACTTTGTTCATTTTTTGAATTACATGTAATAACTAAAAAACACTTTGAAGAATTGGTAATGTTGACAAATATCCATTAAAAGTATATTAAAACACGGGTTAAGATTTTTACTTTTTATTTTTAATTCATAATTTTTTTAGTTAAATAATTACACTAATAAAAAAATATTTATCAATAATAAAGAATAAAGATTAAGACTCATTCACTCTCAAAATAAATTCTTCATTTTAGTCCAAACGGCGATTAATTGGACATTTTTAAAACAATCAAGTCCAAGAGTAGTTTAGAATTTTTTCCAAACAACTGGGTCGTGCACAACCTTAATTGGACAGTTTTAAAACAATCAAGTCCAAGGGTAATGTTTTCAAAATAATTTTGTTTTTGGTACAAAAATAAAAATAATATTATTTTAAAAATCATTCTCGAACCGATTTTAAAATTACGTTTGGTGGTCTTTTACGATATTAGTTTAAGTATGATAAAAAAGTTAAATCGTGTTTGGTTATATTTATGTTTGTTTTAGTACATGTAATTAATAATCTTAAATTAATATATTAAGTAGTTAATAATTGAAAATTATTTAGCAAATAAAAATCAATATATTAATAATACAACAAAAATGAATATATTATTATTTATTAGCACATTAATAATTGAACTATATATAATAAATTAATATGCTAAATAATTAAAAAATAGTAATTAGTAATTAATTATAAGTAGTTACTATGTTAGAAATGTACTCATATTTATTAGATTATAAGTAATTAATTAGTGTATTAAGAAAAAAATAATATATACATAATTTATTAATATTCTGTTTACTACTTAAATTATTAACTTTTAGTTACATAAATAAATAATTAGTTAGTTAATTACTAATGCTTATTCATAATCTATTATTTGATATATCACATGATCAATTTTTGATAATTATTCTTTTATAATAACTAATTACTAATTATCAATTATTAACTATTTTTTTATTAGTATATTATATATTGATAATTATAATTTAATATTAATTATTTATTTAATAACCTATTATTACTTGTTTTATTATAAATATGTTATATAATTAATTTTTGACAATTAATCTTTAACTAAATAATTAATTACTATATTATCTATTATTTTATAATAAAATTAAAAAACTTAATATCAATAAATTAATATTTAATTAATAATTAAGCAGTTACTATCTATTTATTAGAATAACTAAATCTATTTATTAATTATTTATTAATATAATATAATTAATAATTAATAATCCATTATTCAATATAACATTGTTGATAAGTACTAGAAAATGAAAATGAAAAAGAAAAGACAACTTTCAATCGTTTTCTACTTTTTTCACAAAAACCATTCTCATTGTTTTTTTTTTTTGTTTCTCAAACGCCTATTAAACAAACGCAATTTGTATACCGTTTTCATTTTCGTGCCTCAAAAGATGTGTGGAAACGTTTTCAAAAACAACAAAAAAATAATTCTAAACGCACCCATATTTTTCTTGTTCATGAATATTTTAATGTTTCCTATTAACTGTAATTAAAAGAAAAGTAAAATGGTAAAAATAATAAATAATATGTTATTTACTAACTAACTAAAATAATTTGTTAATTTTTTCCTGAGTAAATAATTTGTTATTTACTGCCTTAAGTTTAAAAATTATGTAATCTATAAAAAATCTATTATCTATAAACTATAATCTATAGTTACATCTATAATCTATATTGTTAATTTCTAATATCTATAAATAAAAAATATATAAAAATCTTGCTATTTCTAACCAAAACGACAGCGTTTTATCCCTAAAAAAGAAAACGAGAGCTTTTTAGTTTAAAGTTTCTGACCAAAACACAGTGGTTTTGCTCACCCTTTTCTTTCTTTCTTTCTTTTTGTGTGTGTGTGTGGTTTTTTTCCCCTTTTTTCCCTTCTTCTTCACTCAGCCTCATTTGTTCCTCTTCTTATGGTCAGTAATATGGGTCATGATACGATTACACAACTCAAAACGACATGAATTTCACAGATTATGGTTGAGAAAAAAGAGATTCGGATTAGAATTTGGTTGATCTAATATTGACACAAAAAAACACTAGTCAATTTCGAGTTGGACCAACCTAACCCGAATACGATACGAAACTCGTAAAAATAAAAAATATATATATATATATATATATATATAATAATAGTAATGCTCAAAATCTTATACTATTATTTGCTGGATGTTATTGTATTACAGGATGTTATGAATTTTAAGTTAATTATAATATTTAAAAACTAAAGAAAATTATATAATTTTCGTGTCAATTTCGGGTTCACATGTTATTTTCGTGTCGTGTTTTGTCAACCCGTAAAGTAGTCGTGTCTTGTACGTGTTGCAATTTTTTTAAAAATTCATGTTATAGATCTTGTTCGGATTGACTACAAATTTAAAAAGAAACAACCAGAATACGACACATGGTACGAATTCCCACCTCTTTTCTTTTCTTGCCATCCTTTTGCTATTTTGGATTTCGTTGTGAACAATTTTTGGATCAATTAACTTAAGGGCCTTCTTTAGTTACCTGCTCTGTTTGTTTTCTTTTCTCTTTGATTTTGTAATTGTTTTTTTTGTTTGAATTACTACTTTAATTTAGTTCTGCTTACTTCTAGCTCTTTGTTATTGAATTTGCCAACGTAAAAGTGATCGAAGTTGACTAACTACTTTGTATCACCCATTTGCTCATGCTAATTTGTTGTGTGAATTTTGAGGTTCTTAATTGGTGTCTTTTCTTCCTCTGAAACTTTTTTTCTTCCTCCGTCGGTGTCAAAACTGAAGCATTAGTCTTTTTACGAGCAAAATAATGGTTGTGCATTTTCTTATTTTGTCAATTCTTTTCTTTTTCTTCATTTTTTTTTTGTTGGGAATGACATGTAAACATGCCCTAACATGAATGGTCAATTAGAAACATGACTGTTTTGTATTATCGTATTTTTTTTACAGGTTCTTCAATAGTATAACTAATCAAAGTGCGGTTCTTATAGTAGTGTTTTTGCAAAACAAAATGTTTGAAAAAAATAAATAATGATTGGCAAGTCACCCTTTAAAATTGTTATTTTGTTATCTCTTAAATTTAGTAAAATATTGCATAGTATCTTTAAAACGATGACATGTTAAAATTCAGATATAATCGACAGCTTGAGTATATGGGCCAGTTTAGTAGTGCTGTAGATTTTAAAAAAATTACTTTTAATTGTGTTGAAGGAAAAAATAATTTTTAGAAAAAACAGTTGAATGTATGGTAAATATAATTATGTAAGTGTTGCTAATTTCAAAAGCAGTATAATAACATTTGGTAAATTATGAAATTAAATTGTTGTGGGCAGTTAAGATAACCAAAATAGATTATAATATAATTAAAAATTGTGATTATATTATATTACAATACAATATAATATATATATATAATTACAATATCATGTATATTTATTATTATATTTAATATAATACAATAAAACTATTATTAAATAATATATTATATAATTATGATATAGAATGTAATAATATTATTAAAATGGTTAATATAATTACAATATTATAAAACATATTATAATATTACATAAAAATAATAATATTTCAATTATAATATAATTAAAAATTACAACTATATTACATTACTCTATAATATAATATATATAATTATAATATAATATATAATCAT